AGGGCGGGAGGAAGTGGGGGGCGGAGGCTGCGGGCGGGGAGTCAGCCGGAACCAGAGCCCAGGCCGCCAACACGGACCGCCTCCGAAGCCGCCCCTCCCCAGGCCTGCCGCCCCCGGCAGCCCTGAGGGCGCTCGGAGACCGCAGCGCCCCCGGGGAAATCCTGCACTCGCACGGTCCTCAAAGCCGAGGAGGGCGCGGCAGGAGGGCGCACGGGGCAGGCTCTGGAAAGGAGGGAAACTGCCCTCGCCCGCTCTCGTCGCCTCAGGGACAAAACAAGGGCAGGTTTCCACTGAGGCGGGTCTGGGCTGCCCCAGTCACGTGAGCGAGGCGGGCCACGTGAACCCTCGGAGGACCAGGTGCCACCAGGAGTCAAAGCGGGCAAGGAAGGACGAGTGGCCCTAGAGCTCAGGCTCTCTGTGGCCTGCAGTGTCCCCTGGTGGCAGCCAGAGCTGTGGCAGGTGTTGGGCACGAAGGCTGTGACTGGGGCAAAAGGATTTGGGGCATCAGGTGAAACCACGCTAACTGGTGGTTAAGCCCCTCTAGCCCCGCCCTCCTCTCTCAGCAGGGTCTGGAGGAGAGGTTCTCTCTGCCCCACCCTGCTTACAGGAACACTTGGCTGACATTCCCTCCGTTCCCATAGCCACACCTTGCAGCCTCAGGCAGTGGCTGGAAGTGAAAAGTACCCAGGACTGAGGGTGGGTTAGGGTTCCCAAGACCTCTTGGAACCAGGAATAAAGGCCAGGCCTGGCAAGGGGCCTGCTGAAGCTGAGGCGGCTGGATGCAGAGCTCGGTCCAGGCGTATTCGCAGGTGGCTGCGGGAGCAGGGTGAGAAGGGGCTGCCACTCCGTGTGCAGGCAGGGCTGAGACACCGGGATCTGAGCTGAACAGTTGGAGGAGACTGGAAAGGTAGCAGGGCCAGCCTGTCACCACATGCAGAAGGGTGTGACACAGTGTGAGCTCTGGGCCCCGAGAGCACAGGAGGCTGTGCACATGAGAAGAGGGTGGGGACACCCTGGATAGGCCACATGTCCTGGCCACACCATGGTCTGCAGGTTCCCTGAGAAGCTGACTGTGGATTTGCACCTCCTGACTCCCGAGCCTGAGCCCTCCACCCACACTGTCTGGTGTTGGGAGCTGGTCTCCTTGCGTTCACTCAGCCTGCTACACTCCTGGGGCAGGTTGGGGCTGGGTCTGTCATCTGCGGCCCCCCTTTCCCGCCCTCTGGAGATCTGCTTCTCCTTATTCTACCTCATCACCTCTCGGCTCCTTGAGGGCGTGTGTTGCAGCCTTTCTGTTGCTAGAGACTACGGTGTACACCCTGAACCTAGGCCTGTCTCCCTGAAGTGGCCATCAGGCGTCCACATGGCAGGGCCGTGGGTCAGCGGGTGGGCACGACTGTCTTCTGCTCTACTGCTGCTCCCATGTTAACAGGCCACTGCTCATAAACAGACCAGCACTAATGCTTCTAAATGAGCAACCCCGGAGGACATCCTGACAGGGGTCAGGACAGCTGGGGAGGCCATCTCAGCTCTGGCGGCCAGCATCGCCTCAAGTCAGGAGTAGCACAGTGACAGGGTCTGCACTGGCTCTGAGCACCAAGGACAACAAAAGGGAACCCCAGTGCCTGGGGGAGGGGACTTGTATTCCGATGTCTGCTCTTCCATGAGCCACACGGGTGCTCCCACCGCCTCTTGCACAGCTGAGGCTGACAGGGTCAGACACCTTGCTGCTCTGGGCAGTGGGGCAGACGGCAGCCCATGGGATGTCCCCTTTGGCTCTCAGGCTACTAAGACCTTCTGGCATCCGGCTGGGTCTGAGTAGGTGAGCCCTGCAGGCGACCCAGATCTGTCAGCTCTGGGATTAGAGTGGTCTGCGATGGTGGGGGGAGGGACACCGGGGGCTGCCAGTTGAAAAGCAGCCTGCACAGCCTTGGACACATCATCTTCCTCCAAGCCAGTGAACTCAGGGCCCATCTGTTCTGGGGTCTCCATGGGCAGGCCTGGCCATGCCATCCTTCTTGGTGGTGCACAGAGCAGTACATGGACACAGCACTAGATGAAGGTCAGAGCCAGAGGCTCCCATCTGGGGCAGTAACGGAGAAAGGCCTTAAGAACAGCAGTGGATGGGGCTAAGGGGTGCAGGCCCTTCTCAGGCTATGCGAGCTATGCTCAGCTCTTGGGAATAGCACTTCCGGCATGGGACAGGCCTCGGGAAAGGGGCTGGGTTTAGAAGTCTCTGGAGGGTGGGCCACACCCCTCCTGCCCTCCCTCTCTCCCTCCCTCCTTGGAGACCCCTCTCCCTGCCCCCGGGATGGGGCAAGTTTCAAGACAGAGCTTGAAACCCCGACTTGGAGTACTGTGCTGCCCCTCTGCCTCCATGGAGAGGAAGATGGGGGTAGACAAGTGGCCTCGGTCCTACTGGAGACATCTTGGGAGCAACCCTGGGCCTGTAGAGAATGCTGCTTCCTTGGGGCATCACCCCAGCACTAAGGGCTCCCAAGTGGTGCAGAGGCTCTGGTGGGAGCCCGGGATAGAGGGGGAAGGGAGTAAAAAACCAAAACAGTCGAGGTCAGTTTAACAGACAGGGTCACGTGTCATAACAGAGAAGCGCCTCATGGCCCCTGCGAGCTCATTGCAGATGGCACTTCGAACAGGAGTGGCGCCAGAGCACCGGCGGGAGAAGGAAAGACACAGCTGACCATCCCCCCCAATAAAAATGCCAGCACCAGGAGCCAGGCCACAGCCCAGGCTGAGGGAGGAGGCTGGGGCTGGAACTCAGGGCCCACGGCCCCACTGAGTGGCCCTGAAAACGGTGCACAGTGCTGGGCACAGCCCCGGCTGGAGGCACCTAGTTGTTGAGTGTTCTGGCCACAGCCAACCCAATGGCCCCTTCCTTGGTGTGGCATGAAGCCAGGGCACTTGCAGGAGGCCCCTGCATGGTGCTTGTGCTTTGGTTGCAGAGAGCACCCTCCTGCCTAGTGACCCCAGAGGGGACAGCTGGGCAGGTGTGGACAGTGACAAGGGTCCCATGGGCCACCTGGCAGTGCTAACCCCGAGGGGTAGCCAGTGCTCCTGGTGGCGTGGCAGCAACAACAGCGACAACAGTCACAAACGAATCCCAGAAATCGTTTCTCCCTGGCCTCCCCCCTTGAGGTCCAGAACGGCCTGCGTCCTGGGGCCTGGGGCTGGTTGCTCCGGGCAGGAAGACTGCCTAGCAGGGACGAGGGGAGTGCGGAGGCCAGAGACTGCTGTTGGAAAGAAAGGAGTGACCTGGATGGAGGACACAGTGCTGGGTGGGGAGAACCAATGGGGTCCAGAAACTGCCCTGGGGTGCTCCCACTCAGAATCTGCTTTGTACTCCTCCAAGCACTTCCGTGTGCACTCAGCGTCGATGAGGCCAGAACGTGCCTTCCTCAACCTTCCGTGGCTCTAGCAAGGCCAACACGTGCCTCCCAAGTCAGGAGTCAGGAAAGCAGCCTTTTATGTTCGGGTTTTCCTGTGTAAAACCACGAAAGCACATGGTTGTCAGAGGGGTGGAAGAGGTGTAGACAAGAGCAGGGGGTAGCAACGTGGGGCGGGACACACCTGGTCACAGCAGGACAAGGCTGGGGTTGCGCAGCTGCTTGTACACCTGCAGCAGCCTCTGGGCGGTGGCACAGGAGCTGGCTTCGTCCTCTGTGCACAGCCGGTCACGCAGGGTCTGCACCTCCCTCAGCAGAGTCTGCAGGCGGGGACAGCCATAGCTCAGGGCCCCACTTCTCCCTGGATACATCACTGGGTCCCTCTGGGAGACCCACCATTTGCAAAACCACACTTGGGACGTGGTCGATGGTCCAAGGGAGAACACATCTGTGACCTTAAAACATGGGATGTGCAGACTGGCGCAGGGCACCCAAACCCTCAGGTAGGACAGGAGAGGCAGGAGACAGTTGTGACCACACCCACTCTGTCCCTTGGCCCAGGAGAGCCCAGCCTACACCCCGTGAGGACTACACAGGTTTGGTCACGCTGGGTGTCATCTGAGCACCTGCGGTCTGTAGAGGTGCCTGGCTGTGGGTACTCCTCACTATACAGGTGGAGGGGCTGGGTGCTCACCTCATGGTTGGCGTGGATCTGGCGGAGATACTGCACGCGGAGGTCAGGAGGGCTGGAGCCCTGGGCGGCCTGCTCCGTGACCATCGTCTGGGGGGATACAAGGGTGGGGGTACTCTGGAGAGGATGCTCCCCACTACTTGTTCCCAGGCAGGTACCCACATCTAAAGCTGGCAGGGGCCTTGGCACCTGTTCTCATGCCCCTCAGAGCAGGGCAACCCTCTCTCCTTATCTGTCACACTCCCCCTCCCAAAAAATCCTCCGCCTCGGTCTCCCTGCCTGGCCTTCCAGTAACTTCTCAGCAGCCCACTCTCCTCTGCTGGGCTTTCCACTCTGCTGTTTGCCTTGACTTCCTCCCTTCAGAGCATCCGGACACAGAGCCCCTGGTTGGCAGCGTCTTGGAAATAAATTTGTTTGGTCCTTTCCCCTCCACCGCCCAGCTCTTCCCTGACCCCAAAGAGCCTTCCTCTGCACAGATCCAGATCTGCCCTTGCCCCACCCCTCCATTTAGGGTTTCAGGCTTGAGGGCAACTTGGCTGTTCAGACAGCCTCAGAGCTGCCACCACCGCCTCTGAGGCAGCTCCCCTCTGCACCGCCCCACTGGCCCATCTGTTTGTTCACTCAGCATAGCCCTGTGGGGCTGCAGCGCCAACTCCAGCTCTGAGGAAACCCAACAGGCTCCCTGAGCTCAGATCTAAATTCCCAGGTGGGTCTAGACAGAGCCCCTTGGAGCAAAGCGACTGAGAAGAGATCCTGACACCTTGGGGGTGGCAGCCTGCCTGGGGTTCTGAAAGTGCTGGTTCCTGGCACATGCTGCACACCTGGACAGGGTCCTGAACACTCTGAGCTGGGCGCTGCTGGCTGTTGTGAGAACACCCCTATGATATGGGGCACACTGAGGTCTGCAGACCAAGTTGAAAGAGTCCCACTGAAGTGGCATCAGCAGCAAGTCCCTATGGGTTGACTTGTGTCCCCCTAAATTTACATGTGGAAACCTTATCCCCAGCACCTGAGAGTGATGTACTTGCAAGTGGAAAGGTCACAGGCAGGGCACGGTGGCTCACGCCTATAATCCCAGCACTTTGGGAGGCTGAGGTGAGAGGATTGCATGAGCCCATGGGTTCGACACCAGCCTGGGCAACTTGGCGAGACCTCATCTCTACAATAAACCGAAAAGTTAACTGGGCATGATGGCACGTGCCTATAGTTCCAGCTACTTGGAAGGCTGAGGTAGAAGGATCACCTGAGCCCAGCAGGTCAAGACTGTGGTGGCTGGGAGCGTGCCACTACCCTCCAGCCTGGGTGACAGAGTGAGACTCCAGCTCAAGAATTAAAAAAATAAAAATAATAAAATAAGTTCACTAGGACAGGTCCAATCCCATACAACTGTGTCCTCATGAAAAGAAGATCTGGACATACATGCAAAGAATAGAATTCTGCTCCCAGAAGGGACAGGAACGTTCTTGGGAACTGGGTGGCCCAGTGGGCAGTTTCCTCTGACAGGTGGCACCACCATCCTGGACTGGCCCCCTCCAAGCACTCAGGACTAGACTCTCAAGCTCAGGCAGTCCCATGGTGGTGCCACATGAGGTGATCACTGGGGTCATGGTGGGGTTACACGCTGCATGACATGATCACCAGGGTCATAGTGGTGTAAGACTTGACATGATCATCAAAGTCATAGTGGGATCACAGCAGGGTAAAACTACCAAATGAGGTGATCTTCAGGGTCATGGTGCTGAGCGACCTGATCATCAGGGTCATGGTGCTATATGGCCTAGCATGCTCATCAAGGTCAATCACCTTAAACACCCACATGGGCTAAGCAGAGTCAACATTCACAGTACATCTGGTCACCCCAATGGGTCACTGTAGAGTCAGAGTGGAGCTTGCCTCAGGCTCAGACTGCAGGTCCCTGATCCGCAGGGTCTAGACAGGCCTGGGGATGTTTGGGCATGACAAGTCCCAGGTGAAGCTGATGCAGGGCACACACCCAAGGACACACTTCCAAAGGGCAGGTGTGAGGGGCTGCCCTGCCAAGGGCGTGAATTTAGAATTCCAGAGCACAAGAGAGCCTCTTCTCAGATCTGGCAGCCACTGGCCCAAGCCAACCCCAGGCACAGCACAGAAGCTGCTTATGTCTGCACCAGAACCCTCAGGGCTGCAAGTGGAACTGGTTGTTAACTCCACTTTCTTGGTAAAGACACAAGAGATGCAGAGTGAGCAGACACCTTGTCCTGGGATCCATGCCCAGGTCACGGCCTCTTCATTTGGCCTCTGCTTGGCCAGGGGAAAGGAGGAAATCTCAGGTTGACCTCATCAGGTAACAAACAAAATCTGTTGGCAGCCATGTGGCTCAGACAGTCTTTGGAATTCAGGGTGCCTGCAGGGTGGGTGGTGGCCACCTGGAGGGTGACGTCTGCCTCCGGGAGGGCTCACCACACACCTCTCAGCTGTCCACAACTCGACTGCACAACACTGCACCATGCAGCAGAGAGGAGGATCATCTTCCTACAACTCTTTGCAGGTGGCTGCAGACCATGTGGCCAGCAGCTGCATGGTCCCATGCAAGGAACTCAGCAAGCCACCCACCACCCTCAGAACTCCCTTCCTGAGTAGGCCCACACCAGCCACTGTACCTGCATCCGCCTGATGATGGCGTGGTGCGCCCTGCACATGTCGGCCAGAGAGGAGCTCTCCACCTGGATCTCCACGGTCTGGATGGGGCCTGCCGGGCACAGGTCAGTCATGGCCACCTGCAACACATGAGCCATCTCACTGCCTGCCCACAGTTCTCCTCCAGGTGGCTCAGGCTACACAGGAACCTCCCAAGCTGGCAGCACATGAGGCCCTGGGGACCCTAGCCCCTGCCCTAGGCTGCCCCTCCACACCCTGCAGGTGGGCAGGGCTCAGGGCAGAAGGGCTCCCTGGGCCTGGGTCTTTCCACCTGAAGGACCAGCCAGCCAACCAACAACAAGAAATCTGCTCAGCCCAGCAGATGTGTCCAGGAAGAGCCCTGTTCCTTCAGCATCCAGACGCATAGAACTCATCAGGACCTTGAACCAGATTGGTACCCACTCCAAAGGGAAGCAACCACTGAGACAACTCACGGGCAACCTACATTTGGACCCTGCCCGTGCCCCTGAGCGCCCACTGAAAAGCAGACCCAGACCCCGCCCTATACTGACCATCACAGGTCGCCTCTGACAGGAGGGGTGGGGTGTGTGAATGCAGGAGCACTCTCTACAGGCCAGCCAAGAGTACTCCAGGTCTTCACTGCACTGAGCTGGACATTAAAATCAGGCAAGAATGGTTCAAGAACCAGGAAGTCCTGGCTTGTTGTCTGTACACAAAACGTAAGACCCTGTGGGCACTTAGGAAAGACACTGTCACTTGTAGCTCTTCCACAGGACCACAGGCACTAACCTTCAGAGACCCCAGCATCGGAGCTCAGACATGTCCCTGCCTAGATGCTGCCTGGCCTGAAAGGACCGAGTAGTAGGTGGCAAGGCTGAGGCGCCCAGAGACCAGGGTTTGATTCAAGTACAGACACTAAGGTACAGCGTCCTCGCCCATCCTTAGGGACGCACGTGTCCTGGCAGCCTGAGATACTCTGCAAGTGCCTTTGACAGTGAGACATGAGGGTCTGCTGGAGATAACCCTAGGCACCACAGCCAAGAGGGTCACTGAGAGGGGCTGGGGGACCAGCTGCTCCTTTAGTGGCTTCCACAATTGGGTCCAGCGCCCTTTGTGTTGTGAAGGTTGGCGGGTGGGCTGGGGTTGGGGCTGATCCTGGGGAACACAGTGGAGTGATGGCCAGGGCCTGTCCCCACAGGAATCTAAGCTGTGAGGCCCAGCCTGCCTGAAGAGGCTTTGCCTAGGTGCACAGGGGACCATCACATGAGAATTCTTGGAGAGCTCAAGAGAACAGACAGCTGGGCCCATCCCCTCGGTGAGCTGCTCTGGGTGGGGCCAGGAATCTGATTCCTCCTAAGCTGCCAGGTGATGCTGGCAGTGCTGGTACTGCCTGTCCAGGGAGAGCTGACCCTCTGCTTGCCTCACGGATGATGAGGCGGATATCAGCACCATCTGGGGCCACTCCCTGGATGGAGGACAGCGCTTGGGCCCTCACGACATCCACAGCAGCATTCTCAGCAAGGAGCCACTGCAAGGTGGCACAGCACAGGGAAGTACCTGGAAGAGAGAAGCCGGCCAAGAGCTCAAGTGGTTCCTGCCCATGGGAACCTGGGTGGTTGCCCCAAAGTACCCCCACCCAGAGCAGCCTGAACATCCCAGCTGCCCACAGCCCCACCCTAAGCAGGAAGCATGGCCAGCTAAGAGAGAAAGGAGACTGTGGTGACTTTCTCTGACAAAGGAGTATTATGATGGGGTGATGAGAAAGTCTGATTAACTGAGGGTTACAGCCTTACTTTGAGGAGCACCTGCTTATGGTTTTGGGAGTGGTTCTGAGAGCAGGCAACAGCACCCCTCACACACACCCAACAGACACTCCCACAGGGATGAACACAGTGGACCTCTGTGCCAAGCCCAGATCCAGAAACAACCCAGAACGGCAACATCGGCAGCCAAGACACTATCCTATCACATGATCCAACAGGTCACACAACAGGGTCTCACATGAGGGAGAAGCGGAAGCCACACATGAGAAGGGACTGCACGCTCCATTGACAAGCACAGTCCCACTACGGTGCCATGGAGACAGAAACGGTTACTTCCTTGGGTGCTCCTTTGTAAAAGCTCACCCAGCTGTTCCTTGTGACATGCCTACTTTCCTGTATTTAGGTTATGCTTCCAAACATAGATTTTATAAAACACAACTCAAAAGCAAGGCATGGCAGGAGGGCCACATAAGACCAGACTCCAACAGTGAATAGGAGACAGACATAAGTTCATTTCCTGAGCAGAGCTCATGGGGCCTGTGGGGCCTGCAGTCCTACGGCTGCCCCAGGAGCAGCTGGGAGAGAAAGGAACAACCCATGCCCAGGCCAGATGAAGGGAAGACAGTCAGTGCCACCAACCTAAGTGGCCATCCTCCAAGGTAGCCCTGAGCAGCTCCGCTGACACTTTGATGGAGGCCACAGACGGGGGCAAGTACTCAGCCCGCAGGGAGGCAGGCCCCACCGGCTGGCTGCCTGGCTCTCGGCAAGTTTCCAGGAAGGTGTCCACGGGGTCACTGGTAGGGCCGAGTGGGGAAGGGGCCTGCATGTGGGGGGGGGCCAGGCCTGGGAAGCGCAGGCATTGCAGCATGTCCACTGTGTGCTTGCTCAGGGGCAGGCAGACACCCTCCTGCTCAGGCAGGACATCGGGGGAAAACTCATCCAAAAAGGGGTCCTCAAGAGAGTCTGAGGGGGCAAGGGCCCCGCCCACGACCTCCCGCAGGCTGTAGAAGAGCATGCAGGACACAGTCACTGGCAGGTCAAGCATGCCGTTCTCGCCAGGGCCCAGGGGCAGTGTCACCTCCCGCCGAGCACCAGGGCTGAGCCGGTCCACGGGAATGGTGTATGTGATGGCCGAGCAGGCCGAGTCCAGGTCGAGGGCGGAGGAGCTGCTGAACACCTGGATGCACAAGGTCCAGCCCTGGTCTAGGCTGAAGTCACTGCTATTCTCTAGCAGGCAGGTGGCCGTCAGCACGTCCTGCATCTGCAGGTGGCTCCAGGCAGTGGTGATTGTGCAGGAGATGGGCCTGGGACCCTCACGGCTCGACAGCAGTGCACAGCTCACGTTCATGGCCTCATTGAGGCTTGTCAGGGCTTTATTTCGCTGGTCAACCGCTTTCTTCAAAAAAGATACTCTGCAAAGAACAGATGTGGCACCAGGGGGAGGGGGAGACCACAGCGCTGTCACATACTGACTCTAGGGTCAGCAGGTACTGGAACGTGGTTCTACAACAAGCATGCGGTGGGATATGGCCACATCTAAGGAGCAGGTCCCCCGAGCCCCGGGGAGCAGTTCCCTGTCCCACCCACACCAGAACCCTTTTGAAGCTGCCTTCAGCCATCTGGTTAACCTCTCTTCTTGGGCCACAGGAGGAAAGAGGGTAGAAGATGGAACTGGTGCTGTCCTCGGTGGGCCTGGGCTAATCTGCCAGGTGTGAGAAGCCGCCACCATGTCAGGGCCACCAGGGAGCCAGTGGTGCCTGAGATGGCATCGCCCCCACCCTAGACTCCCAGATAGTCCTAGTTAGCCTCTTTTCTTCTCTGCAGCCTCCACAGCAACAGCCGGGGCGGAGAGTCATTACACAAACAGCCCTAAACCATAGCAATCTGGAGTCTATAGGTCACTCACTCTTAGGACCCCAGCAGCAGATGAGGGGGAGGCTACATCCACTCTTTTATTATTTTGGAGTTGGAGTCTCACTCTGTCGTTTAGGCTAGAGTACAGTGGCACGCTCACGGCCAGCTCAGCCTTGACCTGATGGCTTCAGGAGATCCTTCTGCCTCAGCCTTCCAAGTAACTGGAACTACAGGCATGCGCCACCACACCCAGCTAAGTTATTTATTTATTGTAGAGACAAGGTCGCGCCATGTTGCCCAGGCTGGTCTTGAACCCCTGGGCTTAGGCAATCCTCTCACCTGGGCCTCTGAAAGTGCTGGGATTACAGGCTTGTGCCACCGCACCTGGCCTGCATTCACTCTTTTTTTTTTTTTTAATTAAAACTTATTTTATTTATTTTTTTTTTAGTCTGAGTCTCACTGCCACCCTGGCTGGAGTGCAGTGGCATGCTCATGGCCATCGCAGCCTCTACCTGCTGTGCTCAGGCGATCCTTTCCACCTCAGCCTTCCAAGTTCCTGGAACCACAGATGCACACCACCATGCCTAGTTAATTTTTAATTTATTATAGAGATAAGGTCTTGCCGAGTTGCCTAGGCTAGTCTCAAATCCCTGGGCTCAGATAATCCTCTCACTTCTGCCTCCCAAAGTGCTGGGATTACAGGAGTGAGCCACTGCGCCCAGCTGCATCTACTCTTTAAACATCCCCTGTGGGCCAGCACTGAGGCAGGGTCAGAGAAAAGTTCGCTGGACCCTTTGCTGAGAACACTGAGGGTAGGGGCCTCCGAGGAGAGGGTATCCAACAGGGAGGGTGAGGAATCAGCAGGGGAAGTCTCCTGTGTCCCCACCAGGGAGATGTGTGGGTGCTATCTGAGAGGGGTCACTCTCATCTTCCAGTGACAGCCAGACTGCTCACAAGGCAACAGCCTTGGGTGTTGCTCAACACCAAGCAATGTGATGTCTGGGGCTCTCAATGGGTAGCCAGAAGCAAAGTTACAGTCTGGCCAGGACCATCACCACCTAGGCCATCCAGACCCAAGTTGCCTCCACCTGATAAAGTCAAGCCCAGAAGACATCCCCACCCACCCAGGGACACTGCTTCCTAGGACTGCAGCCCCAGCCTCTGCCCAGTCCCAAGTCCAGCTGCTTACCTCTCAGAGATGTTACCAATTCCAGAGAGCAGCTCCTTAATTTTCTCGCCTGCATTTGCCATAGTCATCTGGGCAGGGCTGGACATCTCAGTGTGCGGGTGCAGGCTGCAAGTCATCAGGCGGCCTTTGGTAGACAGGGCCAGGAGCTCAGTGCCACCTGGTGACAGACACATGTGGGGCCTGGTCAAAAGGCAGGGTTGTGGTAAGCAGCCATGACACCCAGAGGTGTTTCCCCTGGGCCCCCGGGCAGATGCTGGCAGATGGCCAAGACCAGTGTTCAGTGAGGAAGGGAAGGTCTTGAGACAAAGGTGTTCTCATGTGTGGTCTACTTGTCCTCAACCCCCAGACACCTGCCAGCTCACATGTGCACCCCCATCTCTGGCCAGATCCATAGCCCTCTCTTCCTGTGGTAGACAGTTTGGCTTTTCCCTTCAAAGCATTTCTCTCCTGTCAAGTATTTTCCATGCCAAGGTTTACCTGTGCACTCAAGACAGAAGGAGGCTAACAGGAAGACACATTTGGGAGGAAGGTGACTCTACTCCCTTCACCCCACCATCAGGCAAGCACAGTTCAGACCCTCTCTAGCTTTGGGGAAAAACACACAAAACAAGAGCTCTGCGATGCCATCTCCCTTCAGTCTACAGTGAGCGCACAGGCAGGCCACACAGTGACCTGAGCAGGTGTTTCTCAGCCTTCAGAAGACATGTAAAGGCTTGACCTGAACAGATTTCCCTGGACTACCTGTCACATAAGACTTGTTGAGGAGAAGCTCTTGTGCCAGGTCACACAGACACTATGCTGAGTCCACAACCAGCCAAGAAGCCAGACCCCACTCAGCAAAGCACACCCCAGACCAATGTAGGATGCACACAGTCAGCCACTCCTTGAGCCCCTGAGATGAGAAGTGGATTAACCACCAGGCTGTGCCAGTGAGGATAAGCCTGTACCTGTCAGGTTCATAAACGGAACAACAACAAGCTAGGAGAGGAGGACGAGCTAGCCCATAGGAGAGAAGACAGCTGAAAGGGAGGCTGTACTCAAGGTTCCAGTTTGCCACATTAAAACAGCAGGTCATACCTTCAGGTGCCCTGGATAACACAGAGAGAGTGAGGACACTGCAGATATTCAAGTTGGCTGGACACAGCAGTGGGGGCAGGCCTCCTGGGCCCCCGTTGGGCTGCTCAGCATCCAAAGGGGCACCTCCCCGAGCCAGATCCACCACACAGAGGTCAGAGGGGGTGCTGTGGTATATGCGGCCGCCTCCACCACAGGCGGCACAGAGTACAGGGCCTGGCAGGCAGTATTCCCGCAGCTCCGGTACCAGCTTCCCGGACTGGTCCCAGCTGGCCTTGATAGCTAGCGTCCGGCCATGGTGACCAAGGGCCACCAGGCAGTCAGAGCGCACATCCTCACCAGACAGCGTTTCCTCTGCAGCTTCCTCAGCTCGCAGATCTGTCCTCAAGGCGCCTATGAAGATGACAGGCTCTTCCAGGTGATGGAGGATCTTGACAAAGGCCTTTGGGTCACCAGGTGATAACCTGGAGGTAACCAGGGCCTTTAGAATTACACAGCAGAGCTGGCCGTCAGGGAGACCACAGAGAATTACAGGAGACTCTAGGAGGGTGGCATCAGCTCCAAAGAGGAGCCCAAATAGGGTCTCCTCTAGCGTGAAGCTCCCGGAGCCCCAGAGGTGACCATGCGGGACCCTGGAGCATGGTGGTGACACACAGCACAGTACTGGAAGGAAGTGGGGAGCTGCAGGCTTCCCTGGGACCCCAGCTGGGGGGGTGTAGGTGGACAACTCCACCTCACCAATCTGGCCTCCCAACCAGGGGTCCTGCCCTGGACAGGGACGCTCAAACAGCTGCATCTTCCACTGGGCAGGGCCCTCCACCAGGGTGACAAGCACACCATCAAGCACAGTGAACGTGCACAGTGCAGCATTGGGGAGCACGCAGGTGCCTGGGTCCACAGGGATCACAGGGAAAGGGAGTTCACCGTCTTCGCTGTCCCCGTCATCCTGGGTCATAGACCTTTGAGAACAAGGAAACCATCAATCAGGACCAGAGGGGGTGGGATTCCCATCACAATAGCCTGGCATGGATCAGGTTGGGTAAGGGGTCATCACAGGGTGCTGCTATCTTGAGAGTCCCTAAAGTGACCCTCACAGAGCTTGGCAGTCTATCCACCTCATCATGGCCTCCCACCTGCTCATGGACTCTGCTCAGCATCAGTGCACAGAAGACACACCTGATGGGAAACACCAAGGCTTCCACAAAGCCCCTGAACGGACAATTAATCAGTACAGTGCAGCCCATCCTTGAGGCCTGCCCTTTCACAGCATAAGCTGCAGTCAGCAGGTGCACAGGCTCCGCACCCAAGACAGGGGCCCAATTGCCCAGCGCTTGCTTCCTTCTGACCCAGGTGTCTGCACTAATCACTGACTTGGGGTCACAATGCCATTGTTGCTACTACAGTCATAGGCTCTCCTGGCCCTAATATAGATCCCCCTCAAAGGTGTGTCTCGCCAGAGATGACGGACCACCAGGGTCCAAGGGGCAGGATCCTATTCCTGTGGTGAAACGAACCATCCAAACCCCATTTCCCAAGGACTCTGCAAGCAAGAAGCTTTTAGAAAACAGGCTGGGGTTCAGGGGGCTCTAACTGGGTTACAGATTTAAGCAAGCCTTCAGAGCTGCCGGCAGCCCGTGGTCCCCAAGTGCAAGGACGATGAGCTGCTACTCTGAACCAATCCGGGGCAACCCGAGCGAGCAGGTCGCAGGTGTAGCGTGCTGCGGGAGGAGGCCAGGGCGGGAGCGGCAATGGGTCAGGACCCGAGGAGGCACCGCACGGGGCCACGCCCACTCCTCACCGGCACGGGTGGTCCAGCGACAGGCAGTAAATGCCCTTCCGGGCGCACAGCACATAGAGCGCCCTGTGGACGGCCAGGAGCTCCAGGTGCCACACCTGGTCGGGGAACCGGTACACTGCCTGCGGGCAGGGAGGGAGGCGCGCGTCAGGCCGCTGGCGCGGCGCGGGCACTCTGATCTTTAAGCAAATACGACCCCTGTCCCCCC